GACAGAGTGAGAGCCTGTCTCTAAAAAAAAGTTAAACAATAATATGAAATTTTATTGTCTCCAGCTCTTGGGCTGAAATGATCCTCCTGCCTCAGCCTTGTGAGGAGCTGGGAACACTAGTGCACACCACCACACCCGGCTACTTTTTTCAAGTTTCTGTAGAGATGGGGTCTTGCTATGTTGCCCAGGCTAGTCTCAAACTCCTGGCTTCAAGCCATCCTCCTTCCTTGGCCTCCTGAGTAGTTGGGACTACAGACACATGCCACACCTAAATTTTTAAAATAGTGATGGACTGGGATCGGTGGCTCAGCCTGTCATCCCAGCACTTTGGGAGGCCGAGGTGAGTGGATTGCCTGACTGTGGGTTTGAGACCAGCCCGGGGAACTTGGCAAGACCTCATCTTTACAATAAGTAAAAAAAAATTAGCTGGGTGTGGTAGCGCAAACCTGTAGTTCCAGCTACTTGGAAGGCTGAGGCAGAAGGATTGCCGGAGCCTAGCAGGTCGACACTGAGGTGGCCGTGAGAGTGCCACTGCGCTCTAGTCTGGATGACAGAGTGAGACTCCAACTCAAAAAAAAAAAAAAATAGTGATGGGCCAGGCGTGGTGGCTCAAGCCTGTAACCCCAGCACTTTGGAAGGTCGAGGTGAGAGGACTGCCTGAGTCCAGGAGTTTGAGTCCAGCCTGGGTAACTGGGTGAGATCTTGTCTCCATGAAAAAAAAAAAAAATTAGCCAGAAGTGGTGGCATGCGCCTGTAGTTCCAGTTACTTGGAAGGCTGAGGCGAAGGATCTCCTGAGCCGAGCAGGTTGAGGCTACGGTGGCTGTAAGTGTGCCACTGCACTCCAACCTGAGCAACAGAGGGAGATTCCGACTCAAAAAAAAAAAGAAAGAAAAAGAAAAAAAACAATGATGGGGTTTTGCCGTGTTGCCCAGGCTGGTCTTGAACTCTTGGCCTCAAGTGATCCTCCCTCCTTGGCCTCCCAAAATGCTGGGATTATAGGCACGAGCCACCGCGTCCAGCCAGCCGACTTGAGTCTTCTGAAAACCAACGACCAATCCACTCACTGGGACAGTGACCATCACAAAAACAGTCACATGTTGTATTAAGGAGGTGGAGAAATGGGCACCCCCATACACAGCTGGTGCAACTATGAAATTGTGCAGCTGCTATGGACAGCAGTGTGGCAGGTCCCAGATGAGTGAACTGCGGGGTTCTCCTGGGATGCAGCAGCTCTGTTCCTGATATAGGTGCCAGAGAAAAAACCAGGTGGTCACACAGACCGCCCACCAGGGCTGTTCACAGAAATCAGGGAAGGCAGAAAGTGCCACTGGCTGCTGGCTGGGTCAAGGGTCCATCCCTACAAGGGCATGCCGTCCAGCCTCAAGAAAAAGTGGTATGTGACAAGTGCCACCGTGTGGGCAGACCCTGAAAACAGGACGCTGAGGGAGAGAAGCTTGCTGCAGAAGGACAATGGTTGTAGGGTTAATTCCACTTCTCTGTTGTATCCGGGTTAGGCCAGTCTCCAAACTGATCCGTGGGGGCCGGAGGGTTGGGCAGAGGCGCGGGGTTTCCATTCTAGGGGACGAAAGCCTTCCTTCCACAGCTAGAGAGGGCGGCAGTTGCACCATGCCATGCAGGTATTTGGACCCACAGAAGGGACGTGCAAACCTTCACACGACGGCTGAGATGGCAATTCTTACGTGGTGTGTATTTTGCCGGAACAGAAACCCCAGGACCAGCTCCCGCCCCTCCAGCAGTCCCGTCCCCAGGGCAGGTCTCATCTTAGTTCCTCATCAGGCCAGCCTGAGCTGCGAGGCGTCAGCCCAGCCCCCCAGCCGCCTGTGGGACTCTGA